TTTGACATTATAAACTGTGAATCAGGCACCTGCATTCTGCACAATATGGTCACACAGGGGCGGGTTGGATAATAAATACAAAAGATGAAAAGGGATATAGGACATTCTGAGTTGACATTTAATGCATTTTTGAGAGAAACTACAGATTTTGGAGTGACACAATCAAAATAAGCAGAAAAACTGAGAAATCTTATGCAATATTTGACTACCAATTAAATTGCTTCTATGAATTGAATTCCACTCTTAACCTTCCAACGTGAACACATGCCCTCTTTCAACTCCAGAGAAAAAAAAAAGAAAGCAAATGTTGACTACACCTTCAACCCTTTACAGAGCCATATTTCAGCCTTCAATCTGTCGGCTCCTGCAGCACAGTGGCTCCATCATTGTGCAATAATGCTGGACTCAATCGTAGGTGAAGATGATGCTCTACAGGGACGGTGATTCTCCCCTCCTCCATGATATAACCAGCTTCTGCCAAGCGCAGACGAGATTTATCGCCTCGTCTTTTTAAATGTAGCCAATTTCACTTTAATATGATATTAAAGAATGATGCATGCCTGAGCTTCAGATGTTACCATTGAGGGAGTATTGTCTGGGCGTTGCAGCAGTCTAAACCCAGCAGATACAGCTGATGTAATGTTTAATATTGATAACAGCCCTGAGCGGAATGGGCTCTGATCATTTAGGAAAATATTGTGCGTTTTTTCTTTTTTTAAACTACCATTTGTTGGCCCTGCGCCTGGATTCATGTCATCCATCAGTTGGATTTGATGGGCAGATTTCCACAAAGCTCTTATCACCTCCAATGAAATGAACTCTGCCTGTGAAAACAGAGTGGTGCTGTGCATAGGAGGTGAATGTGCTTACAGTATAGGCGCTTTATTGGAAACCAGGAACTGTTTTCTAGAAATAACCCTTTCCTTTAGTTTTACTCTGTAGACCAGTTGGTAGACCATATCTGTGGTTTTGCATGTTTCAGCCCAACTAATATACATTTGTTTGTAATTTTCCTAAGAAACACAACTATAGATTATTCTATTTAATTTTAACACTGTGCAATAATTAATGAAAGTCAATGGCTGCAATGAAAAGATGGAACTAGAATGGTAGGAGAGCTCATATGGTGCTCCAAATACTCCTCAGATGGTTCCATTTCCTGAGTTTGAATATCATTCTTCTGACTTAAGCGTTTCTGAGCTTTATGTCAAAATGAAAAGGACGCTACAAAGAAGATGAGTTGTTCTTTGTGTTCAAAGTTTTTTTTTAAATTTGTTTAAGTTCTGACGTGAGGGTTTTTCTAGGGAATTTTGCAAAACAATTGCCAATTCTTGCAATAAGATCGAAAGGGAAACATCATTTACATAAACTAACCCTAATCGGTGAAATGACTGGGATCCAATCCAACATTTAATTGGGGCTTTTTTGGCCCATGCCTCAGCCTCCCACTAAGTTTCACGAAAATGGGGCCAATAGTTTTTTCCATTTTCCTGACAAACAAAAAACGAACAAAGCGTAAAATCATAACCATCTTTGGTTGATGCCATAAAACTAATTATATTACTCTGCTGACAGTGATGACCAAAAACATCACATCATCATAGGTAAAAAAGCCTCCACAAAAATGTTCAACAGGAAAGCTTGTATTTACGAAAGGTCCGCACAATTGTAAATTTGAGTATGTGATTTGTATTCAAGGCGCTAAAGCCTCAAACACTGGCATGGTGCTTTTGACAGTTTTCTAATTTTCTAGACATAACAGCCACATTTATGACCATGTGCGTGCTTCTGTGTGTGTGGTGGTCCCTCTTCCTGCTTCTGTGTGGGTCTCCTCAGCGTTCAGTGTGTCAGCTCTTGCTGATTTCCGCAAGGGAAGTTGCCTCAGTGCTATCCTCAGACAAAAGCCCTGACCCTGGGGTTAAGGAATGTGAACCCGGGACTGTGACGATCAAGACTTTCCCCTTGGGGCGGACAATGCTGAACACCTCAGCAAACGCCCTAATGATCTCACAGGCTTTTGTGTTCTTCGTAGCACACCTTCTTCCTTGGACCTCAGTCGTGTCCACATTTGAGTGGAATCAATAAAGACAAACAAAACAGATACATTTAATTTCCTTATACCAAATCGACAATGTGTCTGATAACCTTCCTGAAAAAGTTATGTTCTATTTTGTAGAGATTTTGCTTGACTTTAAATCTTAAAAATGTATTCCAGAGATGTATAAGTAGAAGTAGATAATCAAGTCATGGTTTTAGGTAATATCATTCTTCTGTTTTGTATCACTTTGAATTTAATATCTCAAGTTCTGGACCATTTTCTAGACAAAACAAGAGATTTGAAGACACCACCTATAACTCTAGATAATGCTAATGAGCATTTTCCACAATTCTGACATTGTATTGGCCACATAACGAATGGGAAAAACATTGAGGTGTACATTTATCCGTACATTCCTCTGGATTGGGCAGCATTGTCATTGCCGCTGAAAGAGGCCATAATCGCTTTTATGGATGAGCTTGTTGTGAATGGTCAAAGTACAAAGGAGACCAAAAGGCCCTTGTCTCATTTATCACCCATTTTAAGAGAGGGTGAAAGAGGAGGAGGCTGGCTGTCAAAGCAACCATAGCAGAGAGTGTATATCGTAACGGTGGTCTACCATCCCCTGGGGCCCATACGTAGCATAGAGTGGAGAAAAACACGGCTAAAGAGAAAGAAGAAAGAGAACCGAGCCAAGAGATATTGCAATTAAGAGTTAAGTAGACTTCGAGTCCTCCTCTTGCAGAGGAGTGAGGTGTTGAGAGGAGCCAAAACAGCCTCCAGAGGATTTATATGGATGGGGGTGAAGGGTCAGAACGCTATTAATCATGGTCCAAGTTGAGGATTAAATAACCGGGTGTAGATGAGAGAAACGGCTTGATCGAGGTGTTTAAAAAAGACTGTTCTGTCTGACTTCTATTACAGAGTGAATGTCCATTCGGTGCTCTTCCCTCCCTCCTTCCCTCCCTCCCTATCTACTGAGCATTTACCAGTCAATTAAGTCACTTTTATGGCGCATTTCCACTGCAGCGGGTAGCCCCGTTTAAGCGTCCTTAACCGTCCTCAAGCGGCGAGGCTAGTTTTTGGTGGCCCTTCCATATAGCCTAGTACCGGCTAGCGGGTACTTTTACCCTCTTTTTCCGGACCCATAAAATCGTGGTTCTATCAGACCAGGGCCAGGGCTGAACTAGTGACGTCAACACTCTCGACTGCTGATTGGTCAGAGAGAATCGTCACAAGATCGCGCGCGAGTTCATCCCTAGCGTCGCATATATATCTAGAAGCAAGCTTGCAACATTTTTATAAACAGCATTTTGTAAACGGATGAGCTACAAAAATGGCTACGTCTAATAAGAAAAGCACACCGTGGTCGACCGAGGAGGTGACGACGTTCCTACATCTCATTGGGGATGATCAAATCCAGCGGGAGCTCGACGGAACAACTCGAAATGTGAACAAAAACAAAGCCGATCGCCCCGCCTACACTGCGTTGCTACCCCAGGTCCTAAACTGTAATGGAAATGCGCCACGGCCTCGGACGGCCAGCGAGGCAGCCCGAGGCCTGAGCGAGGACGCTTAAACGGGGCTACCCCATTGCAGTGGAAATGCGCCATTACACACCTTGAAACAGTGCCCAGTCAGACCTAACTTTACTATTTTTTCCCGCACAACTGCCTTTGATCTTTGATATGCCATGCATTGCATTAATTATGTATCTCACCTCAGTACAAATGTGGCGAACACCTTCAAATGCTTAATAGGAGCAAGCTCATCACAAGGGCCTGGAGGATGGCTGCAGGAAGCGTATGTACAGAAAAACCCTACACTTCTCCCATAATGCACTGCATAGGGGATTTTACAGTAGGCTATGGGGCAAAAATGTAAAGCCTGCATATGTTCTCTCCTTCAATCTCAGCCAAAGATGGGACATTTGTTCCTTCTTTTGAAAAATGTGCCTTTTTCTGTGTATGCAAGATGGATGTGGCTTGAGTTAGACATAAACTTTCATGTGTAGAAAAAATATAGCAGCAAGAACAATGACAGAGATCTCATACAGCATCTAATGCAGGGAGATTTATGCAAATCGAGCGAGCCGTGAAGCTATAGCCGGGGGGGGGCTTATGTGAATCTGCAACCAAACTTTTATCCCTCTGCAAAAAAAAATCATATCTTTTTTTGTGCAATGTTGGCAGATCACCGTATGCATTTAGTAAGTATTAGCAGATGTAGAGTGGGGACTTGAAAATGAAACTGTTTAACGTTTTAGCTCGTGTTGGATTACCTTTTTCTCTGTATTACCCAAAATTATTGTTAGGAATGGGTTATGCTTTAGTCTTACTGTAAATCTGGTGACAAGATTGTAAACAAATTGTTTCTACCCTGCTTAGGAAAGATTAATGTAGGTGAGACACCACAAAGACAAGCCCCCATCTTTTTTTTGATGATACATCTGAATCTGTTTAATCTGTTAAACTAAATTGCAAATATGCTGGCACAACTTCATATCACATTCTTGGTTTTTCAATTTCTTAATGCAGATATATTTCTATACTTCTCCAATCAGATCTCCAGTTAGACGTGAGTTTCATATGTGAATTTGACACCAGCTTCTATGAGCTTTTAGAGATATAGGCCAATTGCTACAGTGGTGAAAATGCAGTTGAAACATCTATCTAGAGAGCTAACAGCCCTGCTTCAACAGATGTGACCAGGTTAAAATAACAGGAGATGAGCAGTGAAAAGAATAAGTAGCCTAGCTTCTGCTACACATAATATGGTAGGCTACAACAACCAATACCTTGAGGACATCTGTAGACTTGTAATATGTATGAGGAAAAGCAATGCGTGTTTATATTTTAATCATTTTGCGTGGTTAATTTCATGACGAGTCTATGTGGCGTCGCTGCAGCTCGGCATACGTTGGTGGGAGTACCCCCTGCACAGGTCCCTTTTGCAGTGCATATCCAGTAGTTGGAGTTGTTGTACACACCGGGGCATGAGAGTGAGAGGAGAGGAGCGATAGCGCAGTAGCTGAGTGAGCAAACAGAGGTAGAAACATTAGGTTATCTATTGAGACTTATCACACATCGACCTGTCACCTTTTACCGCTTCGTGCACGGTCTACTTGAAGAGGCGGAGAGAAGCAGCAGCAGCAGCCCGGTCCGGTGTGCTCGAGCAGCCGCCTGTGAGAAACTCCCAAACGCGGTCGTCTCAGCTGGCATGAGCTAACCTACCAGACAGACATGGAAACCAAACCGTTCCTGTCATTGGGTCAGTTTGTTTGTTTAATAACTTGTTCTGTTTGTGATGGTGTGAAACGTGTCTTAGCGCAGTTTTCCTTCTTCTGTGGTGCCTCTTTTTCAATGTTGACTGAAGCGAGTTGCCAAATGTTTTCAACATGTTTGGAGCGGTTAACGAGCTTTACTGAATATTGTTTCCATTTCTTTATTTCATTTAATTAAAAGCAGATACTTGCCCTTTATGTTGCATGTTCTAATTTTGATATTTGAGGTGATGACATATCGCTTTGATGCGGAGTGACATCTAAACTGTGCGCATACCTCGCGTGCGCTGCAGTTAAATGTCATAGTCGCATTAACTTTGCTTAAAACTTTATTTTAATATATGTAGCTCCCGTGAGGAAACGTGCAAACCGAGATACAGTTGTGTGTGTCATCATTTGCTTTCGAGAGGGACTTGATGTAAACACAATTGCAGAAAAAGCAGTTTGAACTTGTACGAGCAGTTGCCTTTTTTAAATAGTTTTTTTAGCATGTTTAAGCTAGATTTAGTGCCGTGTGCAAGTTGTATGAGTTTTAGTCACCTGGTATGCTACAACGTTGCTTAATGTTAAAGATATGTATGGACGCCTTTGTAAAGCTTTTTGTTGTCTTTTACGTGACTTTGTTTAACTTACTTCCGTTTGTCCTTGCATGTGTTGCTGAGTTGTTTGAAAATGTGCTCAAGTAGCAAAATAAATGTCTATAAAATTGTGCTCAAATGAAGCTGCTTGACTTGTTGAGGACAGTCTGAGTTTCTCTCTTGAAACTAAAGATTAAGTAAAAAACAGGTCACACTGGTGTCGTTTCTGAGCTTTGTGTGGATACAAATAATCAATGTAACTACGAAAAGTCACAAGCTATGACTTATTTGGTGATTTGACATGTTTAGGAGGGGCAGGAACTTTCACATTCATTTTTCATGCCTACTTTCCCAAAAAGTAAAGACTTACAGCAAAAATGGGGCATTTACACATCTGCCACATTATCAAATGGTAACATGTTTGAATTTCCAGAGAAAGTTCAACAATAATCTACATAACATATGAATGACTGTTTTGCAACCGTTAATCTTATTTGCCAAATCAAATTTTTGTTAAGGGCTCCCTTCAAATTCCACTTTAAACACACAGTGTCACACAGCACACCACACTGTAAATTATTAATGCCGAGCTGCTACTGTGAGTTTGTCAAAGTGAACAGAGCAGACCCTTGTCCCCTGCAGCACAGATACAACACAGAGCTGCAGGTCGACCCTGTTATTGTGTCTGCTTTTCTTTTATGAGGGCGTCACATTACACCTCGACACGTATCATCAGCTGCCTGTATGCACCGTGGAGATTCACTGGGACTTCTGAGACGCCGGGGCCGGCTTTCTTCTGTTACTGGGCCATGCTCGCTGACACCGTCGCCCCACAACGCCCTTTTTGTGGCTTCCCAGAAATACTCACTACACACACTGACGGGCTGTTATTACAGGTGCAACGTATTGTGTGTCCGCGCCGAAAGTGATTCAAGTTTCACTCGGACTAAATGTACACCAGAGTAGCTCATGCGGACACTTGACAGCAGCCTTATCTATGGTTGGTGAAAGGCTCAACTCTTAATTGTTTTAAATGACGAGGAACACTTTCTTCCAGCAGTGTTGGATCTCATCTTTCCCTCCCAGCTATGCAACATGCTGTGTCAGCAGCTTTTTCATCGCATAATCTGTGGGTCCTTAAATCTCCATTTATATTTAAACTTGCTCCATCAAAGGTCCACTTTGAGTGCTGATTGGTAATTGCCACTTCAAGGACGCCGCTATCTGCAGAGTCCTTGCACGTATCGATTAGCCGCTCACTCAGTGTAATAATATGTCGTGCTGCATTAGAAATTCTGACATGCAACTGTTTGAAATGGCAGTGGGTACGTTTTACAATTATGGATCTATTGTTGGACGTAATGACGACACCCCGCCACCCTTTGGCACGGTTATGCTCAGGACTGTATGGTGATGTGCGGCCTTCATTTCTGACATAAAGCTATGAAGACTGAAGGGATGACATTGAAAGGAGAATGTGTCCTCCTGTCAGAGCAATATGAGGCGGATCATAACAGTGTGTCAGTGGAATACACAGTGTTACTAAGGAAAGGAAAGCAGAGTTTTTTAATTTGAGGAGAAAAGCCTGTAAGTCAGTCAAATTGGAATTTATTTGGTTGATTGTTATGCTGGCAATATGACATTTCCCCAGTTGAAAGATCACATTTCTGGCTTTTATTGAATTTAACCTTATCCAATTGAGGGAGCTAAGGATTGTTTTGATCGTAAAGCTGTCGGAGACAAATTCACAACACATGACTACAATTGTACAGGCGTCATTTAATCATAAATGTATGATTGAAACATGTTGCGTTCCGAAGATCTTTGTTAAAGAGTGACATGCACAACTTATTAGAAAACCAGTTGTTCTCTCATGATCACTGATTCACATTTGTTTGATGCAATTTAAGCTACAAGACTTTCTTTGTTGATGGTTTGCCACTAATTTACTATATTGAACACTTACTTTTACCACCCGCTAAAGAGGTGTGTGGTGCCTTCTGTTTGGGGGAACATGCCCAGCACACACACACACACACAGACAGACAGACAGACACTCCCAGAATCAATGAAGTTCATGGTCTTTGATGAGAAAGTGAGTTTCATGGCGGTGTGTGTGGGAGAGAGACATTCCTTTTCTGGCAGTAACTCAGGAACAAAGGTATTACAGGGAGAGGGTGTGTGTGTTGCCGGGAGGGGTGTGTGTGGTGGGAGTGAGCTGGTGGAATTACACCGCCGAAAGCATTTGGCCAAGTTTGTCTTTTTACGGCCGTCCAGTTTTGTGTTCCTGATGTGATGCTTTTGCTCCCCTTTTGAGAAAAGGGGGCTGCAGCTGTCATTTTTATTGGAGGAGTTTTATAGCGAGACTTAATGGCTTAAAGTGACAGCTCTCTCTCCCTCTCCTTTCTCCTTTTTTTCTCTCTCCCAATCTCACCCACGAGGCCTTTTACTCAAGCAAATCAAAGGCAATGTGCCTTCCATGTGCCCACCCTCCACTTTCCCACCCCTCACCCCTGCCAAAGCAAACTGTACGAGAGAAAAAAAAAAGATTTACTCTCCAATTACGAACACTGCGAGTGTGTTTTTGTAATTACAGTTTACTGCACTCAAGTGTAGTGTTTTTTTTCTTCTTCACGGAATAATGTCTCTGCTGATCATTATAAAACATTGAGCGTTTGCTTCAGTCTCTCCCCTCTGCACTTGTTTATGTGCTGAACATCGTACGAATCAGAAAGCGCCAGAAGGGGATCTCGAATCATGCCACGACTAAAAGACTTGTTAATTATTTGTGTACGGCGCTCCTCGCTCGCAGGAGGTCTTCATTGATAATTGCCACTCTGAACTTTGCACCTCAAACCTTGACCTCTGCTCCTCGTCTGCTCGATCACTTCAGGAATTTGCCTTTGGCGTTGGATTTCTTGTTAAAAGTGTTTAATGACAGTAGTAGTTTCCATACGTTTTTGTCATTCTTTCTATCTGTTCCTTTCCTTTCTTTTAATCGTGCATCATTCCCTCTGCATCTAGATCCGTCATTTGTAGTCATTTAAATTGGTGTTGCAGCAAAGGATAGTACAAGTAGTCTCTAAAAGAGAAGACCATGGCCAAGGTGACATCACTGCTAATTCAAAGGATTTCATCTCATATTCACAAAAGCTAGTTGTTGGCATTGGACATCTCAAGTCCCTGACCCTGCCAATAGCGAAACATATAAAACACTAAAGACATAAAGAAATAAGTAAAATAATGAATTGTAATTTTATCTGACTATTTGCCGCATGTCATCCCGTCTGTCTCCCCGTTTTAATTCTGTCTCTACACTAAATCAAATCGAATGAAAATGTTATCTGATCCCAAAATATTTACAAAAATATAAAACAAAGAATAAAATGGACTGCTCATTCTTAAAAATCAAATCAAATCAAGTTTTATTCATATAATAATAATAATACATTGCATTTCAAAGCGCTTTTCCAGGTGCTCAAAGACGCTTTACAGTGGTGATAAAACATGATAAAATAGAATTTAAAAGTTATTAAAACAGCAATACAGCATAATTCACAGATTAAAAGCCAGTCTGAAGAGGTGTGTTTTGGTCAGTGTTTTGAAAGTGGGGGGGTCAGTGCAGTCTCTGATGTGTTGTGGGATATATAGCACATTTATAAACGATTTTTGGTCGAGACAAAGTGCTGTACATATAATAAAAATAGCCTATAGTAGAGACACTTTACAGCAAATACAACAGCACAGATTGCTCAAAAGCTAGATCCAAGGATTGTTTGACATGTTTTGCTTGGGGATAGTCAATCAGCAGTCATTTACACTCACACTAATTTTCTTTGGCAGTAGCTTGGTTGTTGTTGCGCACATCTTTGAATTATGCGAGCACCGTTAGTCTCCGGGTGTATTGCGGATCCTCCCGAGTGTCTGAATGTCTTGTCTGAGGGCTGGCAGTATTCAGGGTGCGTACAGCCACTCTTTTTGAAGTGGGGAATGTAGTCTCTGTGGGGATTTGAACAGATCAAACTCATAATTCGCAATGAGAGGAAGGTCGGTTCGCCCTACTCCAGCAGCTTCTATAGAGCAGACGACTGAGAAATAAGGGCAACACTGAGATAGATAGACATTATAAGAGATGGAAATAACTACATTAAAGCACAGTAAAGAAAATCAGTAGCTGTCAGAGGCTAACTACCCTCTCCTCTCCTCCGCAATCCTCAAGTTGGCATGTTTTCAATAATAAAAATAACTGTCATCTCTTCATCTACGATCAGGGTAATGCAGGAAAATATCTCGGCGGTTATGATGTGTTTTGTAATTAAGTTATGAGCGTGCATGCTTTGATGAGTACTCGCTGGTGGTGAAGGATGACGAATCGAGCGCATCTCAGATACGCCATGCTCCTTCATGTC